TCCTGGCCCATGTGTGGACCAAGGACTTGATTCAGACACTCTGCCTTCCTAGAGATGAGCCCCTTATTTCACATCTGGTAGTGACTTTGAGTGACAGGCTTTCTCTTAGAATTGTGGGCCATGTGACAGTGTATATCATTTAAGTGACAGCAATGGCAGGAACCAATTTAATTCCATTTCCCTTTTCAGATCTTCCTAAATCATTGCTGCAGGGAAAAATAAATTTCACTTTCTCAGACCAAAATGATTCAAACTGTGATGTGTTCCGGGGAAGCTGGGGCTGAAAGAGGGTCTGTTAGTTAGTGGGCTTAACAGTACTTAAATAACATCGTGTTAGTCAACTCTCTGTCACCATAATCAAATACCCTCGGTAATGAACTCTGAGAGAAGAGGGTTGTGGTGCCTCACAGTCTTAGAGTTTCAGAACATGGCAGGGTGAGCCAAGTATCTGTGGAAGTGCCAAGTGTCAATGGCATATGTCAGAAGAAACTCACTTTGTGTCCAGGGACTAAAAGAGGAAGAGAGGCCTAGGGTTCCACATTCCCCCCTCCCAAAAGGTTTGCCCCAATGACCTAACTTCCTTTCAACAAACCCCTTTTCCAAAAGATCCCACCTTTTTCCAATAGCACCACCACCCACAGAACCACGACTTCCGGCCTTTGGGGGACATTACTACCTGTCTTAGTTTTGTTACTGTGGTAAAAATAGAGAAGCAATTTGAGAAAGAGTTTATTCTGACTCACAGTCCATCCTGATGGGCTTGTCCATCCAAGGCATCTGGGATTTGAAGAATCTTCCACATCCCATTGATGGGATGGGACACAAGCTGATGTCTGCTAAGGAATGGTGCCACTCACATTAGGCAAGTGTTCCCACCTCGACTAATATGATCAAGGTAACCCATTATCAGCATGCCCAGAGACTGGTTTTCAGGTTATTTCTAGATTCTGTCAAGTTGACAATTAACAAGCAATCACAACATCCAGAGTGTGGCAAACCTATCCCAGAGCTTGTTGCAAATGCTCCCTGCCTTTAACCTGGTGAATGAACGACTTATACCAGGATCTTCTTCCTGGATTGAAGGAGAACAGCAATATGAAATTGTAACTGCTACCTTGGCTAAATGATTTTTTTAAAATGCTCTTCCTGAATGAGTGAATGAATGAATGAAATAGTTGATTATGCTGTTCCCTGACTTGTATGAGTTTTTGGGTGAACATCAAAAATTAAAATTCTAAGCTGGGCAGTGGTGGCGTGTGACTTTAATTCCCGCACTAGGGAGGCAGAGGCAGGTGGATCTCTTTGAGTTTGAGGCCAGTCTTGTCTACAAAGCAAGTTCCAGGACAACCAGGACTATTACACGGAGAAACCCTGTCTCAAAAAAAAAAAAAAAAAAAAAAAAAAAAAAATCTAGACTCTGGAGTCCTGGAATGTGGCAGTCTCAGTGAGGATGGAAACTTGCTGATGGTTTTCTCTTCTGGCAGCAGCTAATGGCTACTTAGGATGAAGTTCTGCTAAAGGGGTTCTAACGTGTTACAGGGATGATTTATGTGGACTGTCCAGGGAGGAGCACCCAGGTCGAGATTAGGGGAGACATCAAGTGGACATGGAACCATTCTGTACAAGAGGACAGTGGATTTTGGGCTCTGGGACTGCAGGGAGATACACATACTTTGTCTAAGCTGATGAAGTCTTTGCTCCATCCTTGTTCATTGAAGTCACCAGCAGGGGACTGAGGGTGTAACTCAGTTGGTGGAATGCCTGCACAGCATGCACAAAGCCCTGGATTCGATCCCCAGCCACACATAAGCCAGGCATGGAGATGCATACCTGCAGCCCTTCAAGATCATCTTAGACTAGATCATGAGTTCAAGACCAGCCTGGAATATATGAGAATCTATCTTAAAAGACAAAAAAAAAACCCAAGGCACTAAAATATGCTTGCCTGGACCTAGAATCTGTATGTCCCTCTACTGCCCACTGACACTGCCGTGGGCACAAGCAGGCAGGAGCCCAGAGGAAGTCTGGCTCATGTGATTGACAGCAAGCAAGCCACTGGGATTTCCCTACTCCACATCAACCTCAGTTGCACTCTAGCGTCAGCGTCTGATGGACTCAGTCATCAGCAGAAACTATAAAAAGCCCCTGTCAGGGAGCAGCCGTCCTTTGAGAAGTGTGAATGCAAGGTAAATGAGCAGCTTCTGCAGGGACAGTTTTATAGGAGCGAGAAGTTCCGCGTCAGAGCAGACTTCAGGAATGACGAGTGACTCTCAAGACGGCTCCAGCTCCCTCCTCACAGCTCGCCTGACTGCTGCTCACCCAGCTTTGGGGCAGCTTAGGTTTTTTTTTTTTTCTTTTTTCTTTCCCCCTCACTTGTTTAGACCCTGATAAATAGCCCAGAATTTTGAGTAAGGTCCCAGCAAGCTATTGAAAATATGCATTTGTCTTTTTCTAAAGTTAGGCCTGGATATTCACAAAAATTAAAGAAACGTCTTGAGAAGACATTCTAGGTATGTAGTTTACTGCCCTGGTTGTCATCTGTATTCAGCATCAGAGAAAGGGGTTCATATCGAGGGGTTATACCAGTCACTTTTCTGGTTACTGTGAGGAAAAAAAAAAAAAAACCTGTCAAGTGGTTAAAGAGAGGACTTGATCTGGTTCACAGTTTTGCAGATACAATGCGTCCACATGATGTCCCCCATGAGGGCACAGAGAATTGAACGCTGGTCTTGTGCTTAGCGTTCTCCTTTCAGTCTAGGACCCAGCCTTTGTGGTGGTGCCACACACATTAATGTGGATCTCCCCTCCTCAGTTACGTTCTCTAGAAACCACACACACACACACACACACACACACACACACACACACGTATCTCCTAGCTGACTCTGAATCCAATCAGGTTGACATTGAAAATTAACCATCATAGGGCATTGTTAGCTTGATATTTTCATTTCTTATTCATATCAGCTGTGAGAGAGAAAGAGAGAGAGAGAGAGAGAGTGAAGAGAGATCAATCCACAGTCTAAGTAAGGCTAAGGTTTCTTTATTCAGATAAACACCAGCCAAGCACAAGCCAAAGCGGGCCAGGGGCAGCAAGGCAGCCAGGCCAGAGAGAAGGGCTATCCACGTGTGTGTGGTCCCTTAAGAACCATTCCCACGTCACCTTAGACTTCCCCTCACCACACCCTCACGGGTGTGTCCCGGCACACCTGTCCGGGCTACTAGGAGGCGGGGCTACAATGTCTCCCTACAGAAGAGAGAGAGAGAGAGAGAGAGAGAGAGAGAGAGAGAGAGAGAGAGAGAGATCTTGTATGTGGTAGCTACCTCAGGAGATTTCCACTCTCTGGCTTTTGGTTTCTTAGACTGGGCCTCTCAGCTTAGAACTGGCCAATTAGGTTAGACTGGCTGGTCAGCTAGCCCCACGGATCTGCCTGTCCTGCCTCACTAGAGCTGGGATTCATTCCAAGCATGCACTTGGCTTTTTCACATGGGTTCTGGGCATTAGACTCAAGTCCTCATGCTTTTACTTCTAACACTTCACTGGCTGAGCTATCTCCTCAGGCCCTCAAATTGCTTCTTGATAGCCTTTGCTAACATGCAGGCCGAAGAAGCTGAGCATTCTTCATCCCCTTAGGTCTGACTCCCAATCCCTCAAAAAGACTAGACCTTAGCATCCTAGACTGAATTATCCTCTATCCCGCTTAGTGCTGGAGAGAACTGAAATTTTGGTGATGAGGGCTGGAGAGAGCTCTTCAGTTAAGAGTGCGTGCTGTTCTCCCAGAGTTTGGTTCCCAGCATCCATATCAGGAGGCTCATAACCACCTGGAACTCCAGCTCTGTGGGATCCAATGCCCTCTTCTGACCCTGTACATGGCCAGTCACATTACAGACACACACAAAGAGACAGAGAGACAGATAGACACATACATACATACATACACACACACACACACACACACACACACACACACACACACACACACACACACAGAGAGAGAGAGAGAGAGAGAGAGAGAGAAGAGAGACAGAGACGAGATCTGAGAAGTCAAGAACTAGGAAGTGATATAGTCTTTATATATTACAAGGGTAGATAAGGAGAGCTATGTCCCTAAACCATGCTGTAGGTTTGCCTTTGAGAATTTTTTTTTCTGCAAATGTTTGACCATGGTCTGGCTCCAGAAGAATGGCTCAGTCATTGTGCTTACTTTCTTAGGGCTCACACAATAAACTGCCACAAACTGGGTGGCCTAAAGCAAAAACATTTTATCATATCACACCCAAAGCCCCAAATGAAGGTGCTGGGAGTGGCGGCCCCTTCTTCCATTCTCCTGGGGAGTGTGCTGTGTGCCTCTCTCAGTCCTTGAGACTGTTGTTCTGCAGCCTCACCACTCTGATCTCTGCTGCCATGTTCACACTTTCTTCCTCTTTGTGTGACTTTGAGTCCCGAACGCCCCTAGAGTCTCTAGAGTTAGGGCTCACACTTGATCAAGGTGATGGTTATCTTCAGCTTCTGTAAAGGGTCTGTCTTCAGGGACTGGAGAGATAGATGGCTCCGTGGTTCAGAGCACCGGCTGCTCTTCCAGAGGACCTGGGTTCAATTCCCAGCAACCTTATGACATCTCAGAACTGTCTGTAACTCCAGTTCCAGGGCATCTGATGCCCTCTTCTGGGTGCACAAATATACATGTATGCAAAACACTCATGCACATAAAATAAGTTGAGAGTGAGTATGTGTATAGGCACACATCCCTAGAAACCTTCCTCTGAGCCCAGTTGCCTGTGGCCTTCTGCCTTTATATATTTTGAGAGAACACAAATATGTCCAGGAATTTGTGACTTCAGTAAATATTGCCGAGATGGGGAAGGAACGAGGGGAAAGAAGAGGGGTCTCAGAACCTCACTAATAGCGTTTCATTGTGTCCAAAAAGTTGGAGAAAGGCTCTGACGAACTAACTGTCCTTTTTTTTTTTTTTTTTTTCTTTTCTGCCCATCTCTTTCAGCAAACTGCCTAGCTGGGCTAGAGCTGTTGTTCCCAAAATATTTTATGTGACTGAGAAGGCTTGGAATTATTACCCCTATACAATCACAGGTAAGTCCTCAGGGCCCATCAGCCACACACAGCAGGCGCAGGGTTGGGACAGTAATGGAATGTCATTGAGTGAGGGCTGACAGTCCCCACAGGGCTGTCCTTCTCATCCACACTGTCCCCTGTTTGTCCACAAACAAGTTGTTCACGTTGGCTTGTTTCTGTTTTGCTTTGGGTTTCTCTTCCCCCTCACAGAGGACGTGAAAATCTTTAATATGTTATATTAGGCCAATACCCCCTGCCCCAGGTTCTGCTGCTTCGTGCCAGTCCTCATACCCATGGGACCTCAGGATTCCACTTCACCATCTTTGCAAAGCTCTTTGTAATTGTTTTAAAATGCAGAAGAAGAAAAAGAAAGAAAGAAAACAACTGCTTTTCAACTGAAAAGGTTTCCTTTGTGGTTAGGGAAATGTTCTACTGGGATTATTAGTCTTTTATTTTGCTTTTACAATGCCAATACTTGGGGTTTTAATTAGCCACAAGCCTATAGGCTAATTGAATCTTGTCTAACTGACCTGATCTGCCAACTGCAGGAGTAACATGAAACATAGAGACAGCCAATATTTACAGTAACCTAATTTTGGGGAGATTTCTTTAGCTCATTTATAATAATTATAACTTGTCAGGAACCATTAGTCATGTGGTTTGTGTTCTGTGAAACTGGTCTCATTTGTTTTTGTTTTTGTTTTTTTTCTCTTCTTTTCCCTCTTTGCCATCTGAACGTCTGGAATCAGAATACACAGTAAGTTCACTTGTTTTAATTTTCAAAGATATTCTGCCTGTGACCTATGGATTAATTAGAATCTTCTTTATATTTGTCTAATTAATACAGTCATTTTTAAAAGAGTAATTCAAACTTAGAAATGTTTAAATGTAGGCTATTATATTATTTCACACACACACACATATCTTTATATAAAACCAATAACTTAAGCATTCTAATTTTTTCAAGAATATTAATGCAATTAAAGTGCATTAATAGTCACTTTACATAATTAACTTCGGCTGGCCATTCTTACATAGCTCTATTGGTGGCAGTTCACTATAAGAGTGTCTCCCACTGTGGTGCTATAGACACTATGGTTTTGATGGAGGGAGGAGCTTTTGGCCGGGGGCCCTGCATGTGCAAATGATCACACTAACGCCAGAGTGCTCCTCTCTGTGGCTTGATGATCTCATTGAATTCCTTCCTGTTCTAAGAGACAGATAGACTGCCTTGCTTGGCTTCCTGTTGCTGTGATAAGACACTGACCATGTGCAACTTGGGAGCAGAGAGGGTTTATGTGGCTTACATGTCCACATCACAGCCCATCATGAAGGGAAATGAGACAGGAACCTGGAAGCCAAAACTGGTGTAGAGGCCATGGAAGAATACTGCTTGCTGGCTTGCTCTTCTCGGCTCACTCAGTCTGTTTTCTGATATAACACAGGACCACCTGCCCAGGGGTGGCACTGCTCACAGTGGGTTGGGTTTTCCCACATCAATTGTTAATCAAAACAATGCCAGATCCCTGGGCATCCAGTATGGATACTAGGAACCAGATTTGGGTCCTGCAGGAACATTCAACCACTGAGCCATCTCTCTTTTCTCTGTGTATTGGATGATCATCAGAAAGTGGACTGAAGGAGCCCAGGGAGATGGCTTATTTCAGAAAGTGCTGGCCTCAAAGCACAAGGACCTGAGTTAAATCCCAGTCCCCACTTAAAACTGGGTGTGGGCTGGGCGGTGGCACCACACACCAGCACTTGGGAGGCAGAGGCAGGCAGATCTCTTCGATTTTGAGGCTAGCATAGTCAACAGTGCTAGTTCCAGGACAGCCAGAGCTGTTATACAGAGAAGCCATGTCTCAAAACAAAACAAAAAAGTGGGTATGGCAGTGTCTATTATAACCCCAGGATTTGGGGGTGTGGGAAGACAGGCTGTCTAGTCTGACTGACATGTGCTTAGGTTAGGTTCGGTGAGAGACCTTGTCTCAAATAATAAGGCAGACAGCAATCAAGGAAGACACCTAACATCAACATTTGACCTGTACATGCACACACATGAACATCTGGATGCATATGTGTATCCAAACACACACATACAACCACACGTGAGCTCACATAATGGGGGTGGACTTTGGAGTTGGTTGAATCCTCCTTCATTTCCTTGTTTATAAGTGGGGGAGCTGTGTCATTATCTTACGAAGGTACAGTGATGATTGTGTTGAACAATTCTTGACGTTTTAGTCTAGTGAGTGGTGTATGGTCAGTCGCAGCTCATGTTCACTGCCCTGTGTGGCACTAAAGTGGAAGCTGCCGTCCTTCCAGTGGACTCTACATAGGAGCAGAGCTGGTCAAGGCAGGCAGCACTCCAGCTATTGTCATGGAAGGATTGTCTAGGAAGTGGATATTTTGTTTTCCTTCTTCCCACTCTAAAAGGTTGTGCCTTGTCATTTGAGAGTAAATCAATAGTGATATGGACAAAGAGAATTGGTGCATTTCAAACTGCACCAAGACAGGTATGTGCCTGGAACCTTAGAATTAAATTGCCTTCATTTGACACCATGTGAACGTGTGACATATGAACATGATTAATATATATATATAGATAGATAGATAGATAGATATAGATATAGATATAGATATAGATATATAGATATGTATATATATAATTTTTTTTGAGACAGATTTTTCTCTGTGTAACAGTCCTGGCTGTCCTGGAACTCGCTTTGTAGGCCAGATTGGCCTCAAACTCACAGAGATTTGCCCATCTCTGCCTCCAGAATGCTGGGATTATAGGTATTTGACACCATGGCCTGGCTGATTTTTTTTTTTTTTTTTTAAGACAGGGTCTCACTATGTAGCTCCAGGCAACCTGGAACTCACTTTATAGACCAGGCTGGCCTTGAACAGAGACCCACCTGCCTCTGCTCTTCTCCCAGAGTTCTGGAATTAAAGGCGTGTACCACCATACCTGCCCATGATCGCTAATTGTCACAGAGAATGGAAGTCGAAATACTGTTTAGTGATACTGTGTCATTTGAAGAATATGTATGCTTTAGTGACCGTTCTCACTGCTGTGATCAAGGAAGGGGCCTGGGGAAGGAAGGGTTCATTTTGATTCCAGTGAGAGGGAATACCCCATCACTAAGCGGGAGGCTTGGCGGCAGGGATATGAGGCAACTTGGCCAAATAGTATCCATTGTCAGAAAGCATAAATGCTGGTGTTTAGCTACTTCCCCCCTGTGATTCAGTTCAGGACCCCACCCATGGAGTGGTGACACCCACATTGGGGGTGGGGTCTTCCACCTGTTAGTCCAATCTAGAGCCTCCCCTACCGACCTGGAAATGAACTGTAAACATAGGAGCTTCTGTTCCTCTTGAGGGGTTCTCAGTGGCTTGAACTTCTGCTAAGCCTGTGCCCACCCTGACCCCCTGCAGCACTCCTGCAGCTCTAATGAGACTTTCCTGTTCAAGAAAACTGGGGGACACAGTATTCAAAGAGGAGGCCTGTTTTAGCTGTCCAGTGCCACAGCATGTGACTTTCTGTCTGGCTCAGCGTTTTACTTGTTCTATCATTATTCTGCCCCCATCTTGGAAAATTCTTTCTTCCTCAATTCTCTGGGCTGCTGTCTCTCTGTCTGAGGTCAACAGTCATTCAGGGCAGCCATGTGTGCAAGACGTCATGCATGATGGCACTTGATGGCACCTCTGAGCATCTCTGCCTTTTGGGGCCATGATCTAGTGACAAGTTTGTGGACCTCGTAGGCAAAGCCTTAGTGTTGTCAGCCAAGTCTTGGGGGTGTTTTAGAGTTCAAAGAGGACTCAGCTGGCCTGGGACTTGCCCGATGGCACTGCACAATCAGCAGGCTGAGCTGCCACCTGGGGATCAGGCTAGAGGAAAGAGGTATTGATGATTTAGGGGAATCCAGACTGACAAGCCATTGCAATATGAAATACAGGCCCTTGACCTTCACAGGCCATCTACCGGGTCCCCAGTGCAGGTGATGGGAGTGAATAGGGTCCAGCAGGCTTGAGCAGAAGTTAATTCATTCACATGTTGCTAAGAGGTAAGGCCCTCAGTCTTAGTAAGTGAAAGTATAGGCTGTGGTTAGATACGAATTTTCAGATATGATATATATTAAAGAATTTACAGTATCTGTATGCCCCACATGTATGGGGCATATCTGGGCAGTGTGACTATAAGATAATTACGTTACAAGGACTGAGAGAGACACCTGCAGCCCAGTGTAGTGGCACATGCTTTTAATCACAAAAGTCAGGAGTCAGAGGTACATGGGTCTCTGAGTATGAGGCCGTTGGTCCATATAGTAAGACCCTGTCTCAAAATAAAATAAAATAAAATAAAATGGGGACAAAAAACCCCAAAAAATCAAAACCTGAGATTCCCTCTGGATCTGGGAAAAAGGAATGGGAGATGTATAACCTAGGAGCCTAGCCTGCACGTAACATGCCACAGTGACCCCACGGCCAGTCAAGTGCTCACGTGGAAGTCAGCTCCTGGCTTACTTAGGATTGGCACAGATCAGCAGTTGGGGAATGTTAAATGTGTTAGGTGAATACATAGCTGTCATTATTCCTTTTTAAAAATATTTTATTTGAGATGGGCAGTGGTGGTGCACGCCTTTAATCCCAGCATTCTCCAGGCAGAGGCCGTTGGGTCTCTCAGTCTGAAGAGTGAGTTCCAGGACAACCAGGGCTACACAGAAACTCAAAAAAACAAAAAGTGAAAAACAAACAAAAAGAAAAGAAAAATATTTTATCTGTTCCTATGGTGTGGGTATGATTTGTGTGTGTGCTGTGTGTGTGTGTGTTGGGGGGGGGGGGTGCCTTAGCACACATGCAGAGGTCAAAGGATAGTTTTCGGGAATTGGTTCTCTCATTCCACTGCGGGTCCCAGGGTCAAACGGGGATCATCAGGCCTTGATGGCAAGCGCTTTATACCCACTGAGCCATCTCAGCCGACCATCATTTCTTCCCTTCCTTGCTTGCTTTTTTAAACTGCTTACCCTCCTGCCTCACCTCTTGAGTGCTGGGGTTACACCATGCCCAGTGAATTCAGGACTGGGACTTAAACCCAAGGCTTGACGGATGCTTGGCAAGTCCTTTACCAACTGAGCTGTCCCAGCCCTTATGGTATTTTTGTTGATGATGGTGAGTTTGGGGGTTTATTGTTGTTGTTATCCATTTGTTTGTTTTTCTGAGACAGATTCTCATGTATCTCAACCCTGGCTTCAAACTCAGCCTGTCAGGACCTCAATGGGGACCCATGTTGTATACAGATGTCATGTTTGGAACATGTCTGGGAGATGGTGGCATTGACATTAACCTGGGGGATGGTAGCCCTCACTCTACAGACATCTTCTGTGTCTTAGCTTGGCTGCTAGAACAAAGTACTATAGAATGGGCAACTTAAGCTGGGCGTTGCTGGCACACGCCTTTAGTCCCAGCACTCAGGAGGCAGAGGCAGGCGGATCTCTGTGAGTTTGAGAACAGCCTGGTCTATAAGAGTTAGTTCCAGGACAGCCTCCAAAGCCACAGAGAAACCCTGTTTTGTAAAAACAAAAAACAAAACAAACAAAAAAAGAATGGGCAACTTAAAACAACAGTTTGTTTTTTTGTTGTCTTTTTTTTTTTTTTTCCCCCTCCCAGGAGGCTGCAAGTCCAGGATCAAGTTATCAGCCAACAGTTCCTGGGGTGGGCTTTCTTCCTGATTTGCAAATAGCGAGCTTCTCTCCA